CATATCCAGTTCTAACTGTTGCTTCCTGTCCCACGTATAGGTTTCTCAGGAGACAGATAAGGTGGTGAGGCACTCCCATTTCTTTAAGGACTTGCCATAGTTTGCTGTGGTCCACACAGTCAAAGGCTTTTGCATAGTCAATGAAGCAGATGTAGATGTTTTTCTGGAACTCTCTGGCTTTCTCCATAATCCAGCACATGTTAGCAATTTGGTCTCTGGTTCCTCTGCCCCTTCGGAATCCCGCTTGTACTTCTGGGAGTTCTCGGTCCACATACTGCTGAAGCCTATCTTGGAGGATTTTGAGCACAACCTTGCTAGCATGTGAAATGAGTGCAATTTCACGTAGTTGGAGCATTTCCTGATAGCTATACCTGATAGCAATTTATGGTCCATCCATGGGCCATCTAAATAAACAAAGAAACCCCCATCCTACACCAGGAACTGACATTGTGGTAAAGTATGGCCAGATGGCTACACTTAGAATAACAAAAGGGCCCTCTATATCCTGCCCAAAGTGGCACTGGAATGTCAGGGGAGGAAGGCAGCAATAATGGATACTCTTGTTCCTAGACTTTCAGGCGCATCTTGGGCACAGCTCAAAGAAACATCAGGGCATAAAATTGATATTTTATTCTGACCAATAGATTGGCTAAGTTATCATCTCAGATCCAATGAGGAGCAAGATCCATGGTTGGGGTACAGATGACCAATAGATCAACTGCAGAAACACCTAAAGTCCAATCATGGCTGAGATCCAAAAGTTTGGATACAGATGATCAATAGCAATGTACTGTAGTACTTTTATGGCTCTTTGTCTGTAACCATTATAAAACATAGCCTCACTCTTTGTTCTGGGTCTCCCTCTGCTTTTAAGATGGGAGGCCCAGCTGAACTTTTATACTTTAATAAAATTGGTTTGTTCAGCTGTCTTGTGTCTTAGCCTGTCTGTCCTTGCCGGAGATTCAAACTTAAAAATATAAGGTAACAAGTGGACCAAGTGGAAACATCATCATATGATGGAAAACGGAAATGAATGCCCACATTTGAAATTAGATATATGTATGTGTATTTAAATAAAAATTCCAGAGTCTTGTGGTACCTTGACTTGATGGCATGCAATTATATTATCATTATTCCTGCACTGCAGCCCACTTTTTCAGACAGATTGAATGCTGGTGGGGAGAATCAAAGATGAAATGTAGTGGAAATACAAGAGGTTTAGCATGCGATGAACAATTAGCAGTGGGGTCACTGATAAAGACCTAAGTTGTGGTTGTTAAGAAATCGTATGGATCATAAATTAAATGCATATCCAAGAGTTCACAACCACCATTTCAATCTTTGTCTGTCTTTCAGCCGATCATGAAAACAAGTTTTCCTTTTCCCAGAATTTTCTTCTCTTCCCCAAGAATTGATGACAGGGATATTTAACTTTCCAGCCTAAGGGCCACCATCCAGTGTTAGCCACTGTGGAACTTTGACTGAAAGTGACAGAAACCATCTGGTCTGGATGTATCTCTAAATTCCAGAACACACATTTCCCCCCCCCTCCCACCAATCACAAGAAAATGCCCAAGTACAGATACTTGTTGTCTGTATCTTACCTCTTTTCTCTCCTGTGAAAGGAACCAGATCTTCTCGATCTTTAATCTCTTTTGCCTGCTGCTCCAAGTGTGCCAGAAGGTCATCTCGTTTAAAGGGGCCAGTAGGTGTCTTTTTCGTTTGATCTTTCTGTCTCATCCCTGCAGGCAATAATGCATTCTAGATGTTGGAGAAGAAAGAAAATACAAATGTCATGATTGCTGCCCGTCGTCTTCACTTCCTGGGAGGGGACACAGCATATAGCAGGTCCCAGTTTCAATCCCAGACATTTCCAGATATATTTATGATAGCAAGTACACCCCAGTATCATTGTGAAATCACTGAATTCCAGAGGGTTGAGAGTTATTACTTTCTCTTGGTCAACTCTGAACTTGTGGCAATGCTTTACAATTCCTCTCAGTAAGAGAATTATAGCACTAGTCTCCAAGTGCAGGCAGGTAAAATTCACCTGGTGGAAGAAGTGGTCTTCGAGTCAACTGTTGACACATGACATTTCTTTCAGGATTAAAAATGGCTTAGTCAATTCACCCACACACGTTTGTTTGTATTACTGTCCAGCTGTTGTATATTTTATAACAATTGTATGGACAATCTTCTCTATTTCTAAATTTTGCATTTCTGTTTTCTCTCTCTCCTTCCCCCTTGCTCTTCCCCTCTATTTGCATCAGAAGCAAAGACCATAATTTGCAGTTACACTAGATTTAAATGATGGCTTTCCCCCATCCTGCATGTGTTAATCTGATAATCTATGCTTCAAATGCACTTCTGCAGAATGTGACCTCTGAATGACTCTTAACAACTGCCATGAAGATCTTTTTCTCTCTCTCATCCCGTGACCCTTACCAACCACTGATCAAGCATTCACACACTGGTCTTTCTGCCTTTCCATGACATTTCATACAGCCACCCTCCGAATTCCACATACAGTAATGGTTTGTCTGCTGAGGCTACATTCTGCGCATCTGAAGAAGGTGGCTACAGTCCACAAACGCTTAGGCTGAAGAAAACCTGCTCATGCTTAAAGTGCCACCAAATCCCTTCTGGTTTAAGAAAGGTCAGATGGTGATACCAGTGCTTAATAAAATAAAATACAAAGAAACTACAGGCAGATTTACTGCTTAGCAGGCAAGGAAGAGAATGTAAGATATACATTTTTGTTGCCTCTCCATATGAAAATTAAGCATTGGCCGAATATCCATGAAAAAGCCTAGACCTCAGAGAACAGGATTTCTGGGTACCCTGAAAAATAATGTTTTACAAACAATTCATTTCAAGCATCATTTATAATTTTGCTTTCTACTTCCAGGGGTGCTAAGTAAATACCTCTTCATATCTGCACAAAGTTCCATCTTAAACTACCTGCTTGGCAAATGGCCATTTTTGGCCAAATAAAAACCTCCCTCCATTTCCTTTGTCACATGACATCAGCTTCTGAACAAGAAGGGTAGAGGTTGGAAAAGTTACTTTTTGAGACTATAAGCACACTGAATCCTCAAGGGTGCTTTCTGAAGCTTCCTAGACGGCCTTCCCAAGAGAATACCACAGTGGAGATGGGGGAAATTTTTTGTGTTCTCTTTCTACTGAAATATATTGACACTAAATCTATGGGAGCAGGTCAAGAAATAAATAGAGCTGATTCTGAAAGCAGCATTAGTCCCTGCACTCCATGTCTGCATAAACATTATAACCTTGGACGCTTTGCTGGCACACCTCCCACATGATGTTTGGGGCGACAACTCCCACCGACCTCACCTGCCAAGGCCAATGGTGGAGGAATGTTTGACTCACAGTCCAACACATTTGAAGGCCAGAGGCTCCCCACGGTTTTTATGGGCTAGCATCTACTAAATCAGCATGTAATTAGGACTCTTTTTCTCCTTGAGCTCTCAAGACATATAAAGCAACAGCGAGCTGCGGTGAACCCAGCTCTCTGGCACACATTCCTAATGTCTTTGGGGGTACTGAGGCCTCACCTTTCCCTTTTACACATTTATTGCAATAAGCACTGCTCAAAAACAATTGTTGGAGTGCCCCCACAGCAGATCAAGTGTTTCTAAAGCTGCTTCTAGGCTGACCATTCCTTGGATGCCAACTACGATGACGTAATGTTCCTGACACCTGAAAACCACAAAGAACCTTGATAATCTCTGCATGAATTGTTGCTAGTCTAAAATGGCATACTGAGGGGCTAGTAACATGCTATTTGGCATCACCCTCTTAAGAAACAAGAGGAAGAAATCCAACAGCACTTCCAGGGAACAGAGGCAACCCATCTCTGAACATGTGATACAGAGGAACAACAGCGGAACATGGTTGCCTTCATGCCCTGCCTGTCTAGGAACAGCTGCCTGGCTACCATACAACCAGTGTGTGGTGTGATTAGCCTGGTCTTGATGTGACACATGAAGCAGACAGGCAGGCGGATTAGACACATAGCAGCACATTCTGCTCCTACTGAGATTCAGATTAGTAACCACGGCCAACGTGGTTACTTCCATATCGTTCAAGACATACCACATGACTTGCTTTGACCTGTTGCTGTTGCTGAGTTAGCTGGCTTCTTTCGGCTAAAATCTGGGACGGGTGCACAGGCTGAATCCCTACTTCCACCCCTCAGGTCCCAGTGTCAGATTTTTATGGTGGCCTTGAACCCTGACATCCAGCCAGATTCCTGTGGGAGATCTCAAGCACAGCATGAACATAGTAGTGAAAGGCACACTCCCCCTGAACAGGCAGGCTCAATTAACTTATTACGACTACAAGTCACTAGATAGATCTAATCTACCGTTCGAACGTTGTCCTTTAACTCTACTTACGTCTGGATCTAGTTCCACCAGTTCATCCTCCAGTATCTTTATCTCGTCTTCTGTCAGAGCTCCAAGAATCTGATCCTCATCCAAATCTCGATATTTCTCTAGTCCTTGTCTGTATGACATCCTGACGAATTTTTTAATTTTCTTTCCCTCTCCAAAATTATATGACCTGGGTGTATTCTTTTTCTGTAAAAAGGGGGAAAAGGAAGAAGAAAAGAAGAAGAAAACTATTTATTGAATTTTACAGTTGGCTTGGTTGTTATAGTGCAAATCTGCTGAAAAAAGGCACCCATAAATAACAAGTGTGATTTAACACAGATACATTTATCAGCTTTTTGTTGGTTTAATGATAATTCAGTACAATGCAAAATTCTATGCTACAAATAGGAAATGTGGGAGGGAAAGCTCTGCATCACTTAAAAACTTTTAAAATATAAATATTATTACATATTTCACATTTCTGGGTGTTAAGACATGGCAGAAACAATGTTCCAGGTGGATTTTTCCTTTCCCTGAGAAATTCTTGAGTGTTCTGAGCTATGTGATTGCCCTTCATCGCAGCCATATTCAACAGGATCCACCTGCATCCTGCCCTTGTATACTGTTTTATGTCTTACATCTTCACCTCCCACTAGTTCCTGCCAGGCAGAGATAAGTATGTTTTGTACCTTGGGTGCTCCAGATGGCACTGGTAAAATGTACCTTCTGTGCCCTGGCCAACAGCTGCTGTACCAGTTATGAGACTCCCCAATACAACTCTGGAACCACCTTGTGGCTGAGTTAATTCAGGATGGCAATTGGTAATGGGGTGCCAGTTCTGCCACAAACCAATGGAAGCCAGTGTTCTCCACCAGAAAGAATGGCTACTCATCCATTGATCTCCCTTAGGTAATGAGTAATCGTGGCATTTTGATGTTTGCAAAAGGCCATTTCCTGCATCCCTCCAACCTCCTTCAGGGTAGCCTGGAACTTATTCTTGGCCTCTTGCTCTCTGCCCACCTCCCTCTCTACATGCCTGGACTGATGGCTCCACCTCTGCCCCCTGATGACTCTTAACCCTTCACAATAAGGATGTCACTTGTCCCCACGGTACCCACTTCATTGGCCAGCAGCAGCACCCTGTGCTGAGTCTTTAGGTGGCTGAGCACGCTACTCTTGGAGAGGTGGATCCTTCCCATGCTTGAGCATCTTCTTGTGCTCAGCCAGAAAGGTAACAACAAAGAGTTAGGCTTTCTCAGTACTGTGTTTCCCCGAAAATAAGACAGGGTCTTATATTAATTTTTGCTCCCCAAAACGCATTATTTTCAGGGGATGTTTTGTTTTTTTCATGTACAACAATCTACATTTATTCAAATTCAGTCATGTCATCTTCTTCTGGTTGCTGCACAATAGTGGAGGGTGGGGTTTCACTTAACTAGGGCTTATTTGGGGGGTAGGACTTATATTACGAGCATCCTGAAAAATCATACTAGGGCTTATTTTCAGGTTAGGTCTTATTTTTGGGGGGAACAGGGTGGTAGCCCCTACTTTGTGGAATCAGCTACCTGGTGAGGCAAGCCAGGCTTTGTCCCTCCCCCTATTCAACAAACTACTCAGGACAGAACTATATAAGGCCGCCTTTCAGGACGTTCTACCCTCAAATGATGCTGAACCTCAGGTTTCTGTAACGACTCCACATTACTGACACAGGCTTCTGCGGTTTAGCCCACAGCGCCACCACGTCCCTGCCGTACAGCAATCTACATTTATTCAAATTCAGTCATGTCATCTTCTTCTGGTTGTGGCACAATGGGGGAGGGCGGGGTTTCACTTAACTAGGGCTTATTTGGGGGGTAGGACTTATATTACGAGCATCCTGAAAAATCATACTAGGGCTTATTTTCATGTTAGGTCTTATTTTTGGGGAAACAGGGTGGTAGCCCCTACTTTGCAGAATCAGCTACCTGGTGAGGCAAGCCAGGCTTTGTCCCTCCCCCTATTCAACAAACTACTCAGGACAGAACTATATAAGGCCGCCTTTCAGGACGTTCTACCCTCAAATGATGCTGAACCTCAGGTTTCTGTAACGACTCCACATTACTGACTTCTTGGGAGCTCCAGTTTCTGACTTAATTTTCCCATCAGGGATTCATAACTTGTCATCACTACTTTCACATGCCTGAGTCCCCTCAGCCTCTTCCTCTCCTCCCCCCAGGTCAAATATGCATGTACTTGAAGCGGAGTTCCCACCAACCACACAACATCTTTGCCCAGGAGAGATTTGCTGGGAATGGAGGTAAACCCTTTCTTGAATACGACGGAGCTTGCATGGTATGGAGATGAGTGACCATGTCTGGGGCTCTTCATAAACCTCTTTCCCAACCACAAAAGCAGCAGCACTGCTGCCGCCACCCAAGCTGACCCTGCCAGTCTGAGTGCAGATGCCACCCTTGTCCTTCTCTGGCACATCCGCTCTGAGAAAGGTACCTTCTTCGCCATCTTTTTTTGACCCCTTGCCCTGGCTGGGATGCACAAAGACATCCCTGGAACATGCCTGAGTTTCACCCCTATCCATCCCACCTTGATCCAGAGGCTTCGCTGCCACCTCCTTGGCAGAGGCACCCACCCTGTATGGCTGCCTGCTGTTCTTTCATAATGTCAATACTGAACATGGCAGTGGGTGACGGATTTTGTTTGGGGAGCTCATAACAGCTGTTGTAAGATGCTTCTCCAGCCTTCTCTGAATTTCTACCATGCAAAATAGTAGCAGCACAATTACCAGAACCTTACTAAGTTTGTTTTCCTCTCTTTCAAGCACAAAAACAATATGAAAACTACAATGATGCTTCTTGAACGGCAATGAACACTTAAGAACAGCTTGTCTCCAATCAGTCCGGATGTCCATTTAATTTAATATTCCATTTCTGACAGTGGTTAACCAGAGGCCTACCAGAAAAAAAGGTCTGTCTTGTCCTTCCTTCCCAGCAATTGCTACTCAGGAAATATATTGCATCTTTTACTTTACTTTTTTTACTTTTATTAGACTTTTACCCCGCCCCCCCCCTAGACAAAGTCTACTCGGGGCAGCTTACATACATAATAAAACACAACAGTATAGGAAGCATAATAAAATATGGAGACTTCATTTATTTATTATGGTGAATGGTTATAGGCAAGCCAATCTTCTACACATTTGTCTACGTCAGACCTGGGCAAAGTGCAGCCCGAGAGCCACATATGGCCTGCGAGCCGCTGCTGTCCAGCCCGCAGACAGTTTTGAACATCAAAACCATTTATAGCTTTGTGTCTAAAGTTGATCAGTTGCTTATGTTTAACATATCGCAAAAAACCTCTTTAGTATTTGTGAAGATTAGCAAGTTAAAAAAAAATCATAACATCACTGTTTTATTTTTAAGTTAAGTTGGTTCGACACCCGAACACAGTTCAGATTTTTCATGTGGCCCCCCTATAGATATTAACTGCTCACCCCTGGTCTACGTCCTTGCACAAACAAATGTCTATGCATGGTCATCAGTGTTTTAACCTAACATTCATCTGTTACTGAACAATGGCCTTTTCCAAAAGAAGAGATGCTTATTTGTCTTGCTTGCATCCCTTAATATTTTTAAAGCATTCCCTGGTTCTGAACCATGAGAAAAACAGCTTTGTTCTCTTGAGTGACTGATATGTCCTCTACTTCTGTTGAGTAACAGCTTTGAGACCTGAAATGGGATATTTCTGGGGGAACCTGCCAGGATTAGCCAGGAGGTGCTGGACTCTGTGATGTCACAATCCCCTACCTCCTTGCATATCTCTCTGGATCAAGTGCCTAGGACACAGTTGCCATACCAGAGAGGAAGGACAGAGGGACTGGCCAGTGGTACAGTCCTGGCAAAATTCTGGGGCAGAAAATCTAAGACTCACTTGACTGGATGTGCAGGGAAGACCCCAAACACAGCTGTGCTGGCTTGATAGATTTTGAAATGAGCGAAGTAATACACATCATCATGTGTACCACGTTTACTCCTGCAGTCTCCTTTGGCTTAGAGACCAACTATACCTGATTGCACAGGTGGTCCTGTGGGTCTTCTGGAAAACAGCACTTACTGACCAAATGCCAGGCAAGGACAGAGACTTTTCCAGAGTTCCTTAGTCAAGGATTGCTGTTTCTCATTGTTGCAGAGTTCTGAATTTCTGGCAATATTCATTTTTCTACACAGTCAAAGTACAGAGAGCCACAAAGGAGAATGGCTATAAACCCCCCAGATTCCACCCCATTCTCATTAACTGGCCCTTAGTGTCTCAGTAACTCACTCTGAGACATTTGTCCAAGAACCAAACCAAACCAAAACAAAAAAAACTCTTTACTTATAGATGCTTGTAGTTATAGACCTGTTTGTGCTGCTTTCTTTATCCACACATATTTACCAACCAACTGAAGAGATAGATCAACAGCAGACAAAACAACTATTACCAACCGAGGAAAGCTAGGGGAAAGGAAAGCTGAGAGGTAAGTTGCAGCCATTATCTTATACTGCATTTCCCTAAGGGTTGCAAAGAGGGTTTCTCTTGGCTTGGCACTATCCTTCTGGCTGACATTGATGCAGTCTGTCTACCTTTTGGTAAACTAGCCCTCTCTTATAGCTCCATTTGTTATGCCTTCCATTTCATTTTCTGCACCTTTGGGGTTACAAGCAGGGGTCTCAAACATGCAGCCCGGGGGACATGTGCGGCCCCCCAGATGATAGTTTGTGGCCCTCGCCTTGCCTGCCCCCCCCAAGTGCCCACACATCCTCTGCTGTCAAGAGTTTAAAAAAAAAAGCCTTGCCTCGCTCGCCGGCTCTCTCCCAAGACAGCACCTCTTGCACCCTCCATCCAGAACTGCAGCCTGCCAGCCAGCCCGCCTGTCTGTCGGCTAAGGAAACTCCTGGGCGGCTTCCTCGGGCTCTTGCTCCGCTTGGCGGAAAATCTGATGCGGCCCAGCCTCACCCAGACTCTGCCTCTAGCGGCCCCCAGGTAAATTGAGTTTAAAACCTCCGTGTTACAGTGTTGCTCTCTGGAGCCTGAAGCTGTAGGTCTTCTCTTTGCTGGTCTGCTGATATCATGAAAGAGCGGGAGCCCTTTTTGTGTTACCTCTCTGATCTCCAAAACAAACTTCACCTCCCACGTTCTTCCTAAGCTTTGGAGGAGGCTGGCCACAGTGGATA